ACCTTGTTATCTCTAATGTGTTAGCAAATGTCATGTCATCAAAATCATATGATTGAACATCACATGACTTATGTCACATGATCACATGACCCATGATCAAACGTTAGGGAATGTATCAAACCAAAGATGAAGCCTTAAGAATAAAGGAAATTGGTACAAATTGGAGAGAGGCAATTAGAAATGTGAGGGCCTGCACTATCTAAGATTTCAAAGGACTTTATGACAATCCGATTCAATTTACATCAATCATTGAGTAAAGCTAATGCTGAGTAAGTAAACATCATAGAAGTATGTCATTCTTTTAAAGTTACAAATGTTGAATTTTTCTTTAAAAACTGCTTACTTCTTCAGACACACATTAAATGGCTTCCGTCAGTAATCTGAGGTGGCAGTGAGGAGATGGGAGATGATGGTGGGTTTGAAGAATCTGGTGCGCTTGAAGCTGGAACTAAATGGAATGAAAGCGTGGAATAAATGAAGCAAAGATGATGGCAAAAGCGTTCTTTCAATAATCACACCCCTAAGCATGCCCACTGCAAAGTCGCGCATTTCCATCATCCCATTCTCCTCCTATAGTTAGCTGTGGTTGCAACGCCCGGCCTTCACTCTCAGTTCATGGTCACCATACCCATTATTCAGGTTTCCCCCTGTATAAGTAGCTGTTGTTTTGCTTCTTCTTATTTGCCCTCTCTACAGTTTCACCAACTTAAAGACCCCCCTATATTGATGTCAGGCCACTTTCCCCCTTCCAACCACCACACCCCACCAACCCAACTCTATGGTGCCCATTCCCAGTGTGTACTAGCTTCCTTCCCTCACCATAGACAGCCCCACTTCCCATGCATTGCCCTTCCTCCCTCCATCTGGACGTCTGTCTTTGTTTCCAATCCATATGCAACATTAAACTGGTTTCCCCCTCCATAAATCAGCCCGTACCCACCAACCTCCTGTAGTGCTTGACCCAGTTAAGCAGGATGGACACTACAACACGATCCCTTCCAATGAACAGCATGATGATGTTGGATTAAAGTAAACATGCACTGAGTGAATGGCAATGGATTAAAAAGAAAATTATTTTAGTAAAAAAAAGCATCATTAAGTATTTAATGCCTAATAACAATTCATCCCGGAAATAAATTCATCTGAACTTACTAGCTGTCTGAGCTGAGCCCCATTTGACCATAACAAAACATCTACATCTGAATATTAATGGTGAAGGCACTTCATTATCCATCTCTAGGAAGTACTGAAAGCCTCTTTTCTTGGCCCACTGCTGTCTTTTGGGTGACAGCCTTTCGATGGTAAGAATTTAACAGAGAAAGAAACCATTTAGCCTGAGCTGGCAATAATGGTCCATGTGTTAATGGCGTTTACACATTCTAGGACAATGTCTCGGGAATGATGAAGGAACAGTGATGTATGACCAAGTCAGGATGCTATGTGACTTGAAGGGGATTTTGATGAGCATTCACATCGTACCAGAGATGATGGAAAGAGTTGGGGGGCGGTGAGGCTGTATGGGGCAGGATCTCAATAACAATCCGTGACAAACTTTCCAGCAGGAACTGGGGCACTGACGTCAGGATCATGTGGGCGTCCGGACCCCGAAGGTGCTGACGTCCCGTGTGCCTGCATGATCCTCCTGGAGGTAGGCAAACCACAGGCTGTACATGTAGGAGGACCAATCAAACTGTGGCCACCTATAGCAGGAGCAGTGGGAGATGCTGATGAAGGTGGAAGACTCTAGAGGGCGCCTCAAGCCTTAGGACTTCTGAAATTGTTGAAATGAAGTATGGTCATAGCTGCCAGACCATTATTATTCGTGGGATACCCTTTGATCCCTTTAAGCTTAAAAACTATACCTAATTCCTTCTTGAAAATATTCAATGCACTGGCCTTAGTCACTTTCCGTGGCAGAAAATTCTATACACTCGTCATTGTCTGGGCGAAGACATTTCTTCTCAACTCAATCCTAAATGGCCTATCCCATATCCTTACTGTCACCCTTGGTCCTAGACTCCTCGGTCATTGGGAACATCCTTCCTGCATTAACCCTGCGTAGTTTTGTTAGAATTTTATAGGTTTCTATGAGATGCCCTCCTCATTTTCTTAAACTCCAGTGAGTCATGTCCTAACTCAGGCAGTCTCTATAAGTTAGTTCTGCCATCCCAGGAATCACTTTGGTAAGAGGCCTTTGCCCCACCCCAATAAAGGCTGGAATCATTAATCTCCAGAGCACAAGCAAAATGTGACTGATTGCATTACCTGATAAAAGCCTGCTTCGCCTGGATGCTTCGGTGGCCAGGGCACAGGAGATCTCAATCCTCTTCTCCTGCTCCTGCAGCTGGAGCTCAGGGTCTATGTTAGTGTCGGTGAGCCCTTCATTTAGGGGGATGATGTTCTGCAAGCTGACATCACACAAACCAGTCACTTTGCTGTCCAAATACTCGCAGTGTCCTTCTCCCATCATACTTCCTGCCCAGGCCCCCAGCCCAAATTCAGAATGAGCGACTCGCTCCAAGAAGGTCGCTTTATTGCCTTCTCCCCTATCCTGCATTGTGGAGAAAAGCAGACAATGCTGGAGACACTCAGCAGGTATGGCAGCATCTGTAGAGAAACAGAGAGAGTTAACTTTTCAAGTCCAGTATGACTCTTCTTCAGAACATCTGACAAAGGGTCACTGGGCCAAAACATTAACTCTATTTCTCTCTCTACAGATGCTGCCGTAGATGTTTCTCTAGTACTGACTGTCTTTTGTTTCAGATTTCCAACATACGCAGTTCCTTGCTTTTAATTTACTGGATTGAGGACAGTTGGGCACAATGGGAAACACTGGAAGTCACCATCTCTCCCACTGTCAAAACTATTTTTAAATCGCTACATTGCTCATACAGATGATGACGCCAAATTAGATGTTGAAAACTGCTTGTCAATAGGAAAAAGGACATTCTAATTACATGGGGGAAATTGAAGATTCAAAAATTATACACACGCACACTTCAAATAAACCTTTGTACTGTTCTGTATGAAGGACAGTTATTTTTTATATCAAAAGTCATTTTCAGGAGGTGGCATCACTGGTAGTGTTGATGACGCACTTCCATCCTGAATGAATGTGATTTTATACAATGGTGAGGATGTTTAGACCATTTCAAATGGCCATTAAGAATCTGCGTTGCTGTGAGATGGGAGTCACAGATCAAGTACAGCCATAGAAATGTACAGCATGGAAACAAACCCTTCAGTCCAGCTCACCCATGCCGGCCAGATATCCGAAATTAATCTAGTCCCATTTGCCAGCATTTTTGCCTACAATCCCTCTAACTTCTTTCTATTCATATACACATCCAGATGCCTTTGAAATGTTATAACTGTACCAGCCTCCACCACTTCCTCTGGCAGCTCATTCCATACATGCACTACCCTCTGTGTGAAAAAGTTGCCCCTGAGGTCCCTTTTAAATCCTTCCCCTCTCACCTTAAACCTATGCCCTCTAGTTTTGGACTCCCCCACCCCAGAGAAAAGACCTTGTCTATTTACTCTATCCATGCCCCTCATGATTTTATAAGCCTCTATAAGGTCATCCCTCAGCCTCCGACACTCCAGGGAAAATACCCCCAGCCTATTCATCCTCTCCCTATGGCTCAAACCCTTCAACCTTGGCAACATCCTTGTAAATCTTCCCTGAACCCATCAAGTTTCGTAACATTCTTCAGCAGGGAGACCAGAACAATATTCCAAAGGTGACCTAACCAATGTCCTGTACAGCCTCAACTTAACTCTCAACTCCTATACGCAATGCACAGACCAATAAAGACAAGCATATCAAACGCCTTCTTCACTATCCTATCCACACATGACTCCACTTTTAAGTAACTATGAACTTGCACTCCAAGGTCTGTTTGTTCAGCAACACTCTCCAGGACCTTGCCATTGTGTATAAGTCCTGCTCTGATTTGCCTTTGCAAAATGCAGCACCTCACATTTATCTAAATTAAACTCCATCTGCCACTCCTCGGCCCTTTGGCCCATCTGATCAAGTCCCATTTCACTCTCAGGTAACCTTCTTCCCTGTCCACTATGCCTCCAATTTTGGTGCCATCTGCAAACTTTCTAACCGTACCTCGTATATACACACCCGGCTCATTTATATAAACAGCAAAAAGCAGTGGATGCAGCACCGATCCTTGTGGCACATCACCGGTCACAGGCCCCAAGTCTGAGAAACAACCCTCCATCACCACCCTCTGTCTTCCACCTTTGAGTCAGTTCTGCATTCCAAATAGCTAGTTCTCCCTGTATTCCATGTGATCTAACCTCGCCAACCAGTCTACAATAAGAAACATTGTCCAATGCCTTACTGAAGTCCATATAGATCACATCCACCACTCTTACCCTCAATCTTCTTTGACACTTCTTCAAAAAACTCAATCAAGTTAGTGAGACATGAATCCCCATGGACAAAGCCATGTTGACTATCCCTAATCAGCCATTGCCTTACCAAGTACATGTAAATCCAATCCCTCAGGATTCCCTCCAAAACTTGCCCACCACTGAAGTCAGGCCCACCACTGATGTCAGGCTCACCAGTCTATAGTTCCCTGGCTTTTCCTTACCACCTTTCTTAAATAGTGGCACCACGTTAGCCAACCTCCAGCTTCCAGCACCTCACCTGTGGCTATCGATGATACAAATACCTCAGCAAGGGGCCCAGCACTCACTTCCCTCATTTCCCACAGAGTTCTAGGGTACACCTGATCAGATCCCAGGGGTTTATCCACCTTTATGCATTTTAAGACATCCAGCACCTCCTTCTCCGTGATATGGACATTTTTCAAGATGTTGCTATTTATTTCCCCATGTTCTCTATCTTCCAGATCCTTCTCCACAGTAAACACTGATACAAAATATTCGTTTAGTATCTGACCCATTTCCTGCGGTTCTACACATAGGTAGCCTTACTGATCCTTAAGAGTAGGTAATGGGTAAAAAATTTCATGGAAACAGAGAAACTAGGAACAGGAGTAGGCCATTCGGCCCTTTGAGCTTGTTCTGTTACTCAATATGATCAGGGCTGATCATCCAACAGAGACCCTTATTCCTGCTTTCTCTCCATATGTTTTGATTCCTTCAGTCCTAAGAAATATGGAATGAGCTGCCAGAGGAGGTGGTGGAAGCTAGTACAAATACAACATTTAAAAGGCATCTGGATGGGTAAATGAATAGGAAGGGTTTAGAGGGATATGAACCTAATGCTGGCAAATGGGACTAGGTCAGTTTTGGGTATCTGGTCGACGTGGGCGTGTTGGATCAAAGGGTCTGTTTTCATGCTGTACAACTTGACGATTCAATGACTCTATAACTAGATCTAACTCCTTCTTGGAAACGTTCAATGTTTTGGCCTGAACTACTTTCTGTGGCAGAGAATTCCACAGGCTCACCACTCTTTGGGTGAAGAAATTTCTCCGAAATGGCCTGCTGCTCATCTGAAATCTTCAGAACTGATGACGAGTTACTTTGGACTTGAAATGTTAACTTTGATTCTCTCTCTACTGACCTGCTGAGTTTCTCCAGCATTTCTTTTGTTGTAACTGATTCTCACAGATCTCACAGTCATGGAGTCACAGCAATTTTCAATTCTCAAGTTGTGCGCCACATTTGGAAGCATTAGTCTGCAGCCATATAGCAGAGACCTAGTTACTAACTCTTAGGGGATAACAATGGCCCTTACCCAGTGTTAATGTATTTAACCAGTCAAAGCTAATGTAACCTGTTACCCTATTATGTAATATACCATGTCTTGTTACTCAAGGATGTGCCTTTACTGTTGATGTGTTAGTGGTTAATCCTTCACCACTGAATACAAGTAAGTCCCAGATACTACAATAAGCAGCAAACCTGCCTAAAGAGGATCCCAACAGAACCAAGTGCCAACTATGGACATCTCTTACAACACCCAGGGCTTTTGTAAACACCCCTATTGTTCAGCAATTCAGTACCTGGATTTGGCGATGAGCGTTTTGATGCGTTCCACTTTCTTCTGCTTCTCTTTGAGCTCCTCTGGACTGAGAGGAAGCTCAGGTTCAATCTCAATGTATCGCTCAGGAATGAAGACTTTGTCTGGTGTGGACAACTGAACACGAGAGAATCAATCAGGACAAAAACAGGTAAACATTCACGAGCCCCGCAACCATACTTTGTAACGTGGGAACAGATAAGCCATTCACTGCAATACCAGGTCTTGCCAATACAAGGTCAAACAATGGTATCTATTAAAATGAATGAAGTCATGCAGGATCTGGTCAGAGTAGATACGGAGAAACTGTCTCCAATCGTATAAGAAAAGAGAACAAGAAAACAAAGTATTTTGAAAAGAAACAAATACAATGTAAGGAAATGTACTATGACACAGTGAGCTGTTAGGGTCTGGAATGAGCTACCTGAAAATATGATGGAGGCAGGTTCAATCAAGACATTGTAGAGGGCCTAGGATTATTATTTGCAAAGAGATATTGCGCAGAGTTAGGGGAAGAGGCATCTGTGACATAGTGCTAGAGAGCCGGTGCTTATATGATGGGCTGAATGGCCTCTTTGTGAAGTGTTAGTAATTCTGTGAAATCAGCACTGGGGAATTAGACACTCTTTGCACCAAGTGTTGGGCTCAAACACTTCATGGTCAAGCACTGCATGGTCAGACCTACCTCAAATAGCACAGACAGTCAATGGGAAGTCAGTGGGTAACCTCACCATGACCGTTTCCAAAAGCCTCTATCCATTCTGCACACATTCTATGTCTGTTATCAGGAATCCTGAGCCTTTAATGGAGGAGACTCGACTCTAACAGCTCTGGCCTTTCATAGGGCTGCCAGCTAGCTCTTCAGCTCCACGGCTCCACCTGGAGCAGTGCTCACACACAAGACTCCAGTCAGCTGGAAGCAGGTGCTAGAATGGGTCGGGGGCTGGGGCCAAGAAGATAGGCCCCAGGAAGGGAGGTGACAGTGGAGGGATGGTTGTTGCTGTGCAGTAGGTCCTACCTGTTAGGGGATTATTTGTCCTCAATCCCACGAGTTTTACTGGAGGATTGCTCCATTGTGGAAAGGGCACTCACCTCCACCAAACACCATCCCCAAACCTGATTCTACAGCCTCATCCAACCTCACAGTCCCTCCCATAAACCAGATAAAATTCCACCCTGGTTCACATAGATCCAAAATACCACTCTTCCTGATGGATGGTGCCAAAGGGCCAGAAGTGGGATCTACAAGTGTGCAGTATATCCGTGGTCCACACACACACACACACATTCATTCTGTCACAAATATTTTCAGGTTTGGCACATCAGACAGAGTGTAGCTCAAACATCTGCACAGTCTAACACACCCTTAGTACTCAAGTCACCTTGACACAGCTGTCATTGGTTCAAATTCTGCTTTAGGGCTTGACTGTGTAATTCAGGCTGAATCGTTAGTACAACATTGAAGAAGTAATGTCTTCAAGCTGCCACCTCTCAGCGGCTATTCCCAAATCCAACAGCACCATTTGGGAAGGGAAGTTCTCCAGAATTCCAGGACAACAATTTAGCCCTTTTACTGATGTCAACAAAACTGATCAATTGATCACTTACCTTGCCATGTATTGTAGAGACACCACTGTATTTGCTTACTTTGCAAAGTAATTCTCTGACATAAGGCACAGATACCCCCAGGACACGAGCTGTGTTTAATAAATGCGATGTGCCAGTTGAATACCCCATGTCAAAAAGTACTTAACCCAGTTACCTGCAAGTGCACCATCCTCTATTCGATATCTTCACTTTCTCATTCGTCTAACACTTCTCCACACTCACACTGCCTTCCAGCAATCGCTTACCATTGTGCACATCTGCCCCCTCCAACACAACCACACACCTCCTTGTTAATGTCCACGGAATAGTGCTCGGGCTCCACATCCATCCTCCTGAGTCGGGCAATCTCTTCCCTTGGTGTCTCATGGTGGTTTCCTGTGTGTTCCCTCCTGACAGCTGCCTCCAGGTGAGTGATATCGATCTCTGTGGTTTTACGCCGAGGAACCTGGGTGGGGAGGGGGGAGAAAGAATAAATCTCAATCAATCTTAGAAGGTGACAGCTTTACTGGCCCAAAAGTGTCACCAACCGCATTGTCATAATACCCATTAAGAGGCTATTGATATTTTCTTTTGAGTGTGATGAGGGTTCTAATGGGACTTGGTATAAGATGGTTTCTCTAGGTTCATACAAGTGTGTGATGGTTGGAAACTGCACATGCATGTGGTAAATAAATTAGTTTCATTTTTATGGCACCTTTATGACCTCAGGATCTACCAACATACTGTTCTGAGGAAGGGTCACCGGACCCAAAACGTTAACTCTGTTTTCTCCTTCACAGATGCTGCCAGACCTGCTGAGCTTTTAAAGCAACTTTGTTTTTGTGACTACCAACGTACTTTTGATTCAGCAGTATCTCTTTATAAGTGCACTAGATACTTGACTAAGTAATGGAGGGAAGAAGTAGTACAGCACTGTGCAGGGGCACAGAGCCCTGGGGGTTCATCAAGGAAATATAGGACATGCTGCAGCTCTTGCATGCACAGCAAGCTCACACAAACTACAACGTGAAAATGACCTGATCACAAGATTTTTGATAAGAGAAAGAACAGTGGACGCTGGAGATCTGGACGAAAAACAGAAACTGCTGGAGAAACTCAGCACATCTGACAGCATCTATGGGGACAAAGGTGTGTTAACGTTGCATCAGAACAACTTTTCAGTTTTTCTCTGTCTCTGAGTGCTGATGTTCCAAATTACGCTGTGCTTGTTTAGAACAAGAGTTAACCTGTTGAAATGGCATTGTCTACGTAAAAATGCCACAGGGGGAAATTTCATGCAAGAGAGTTAGGCAGATGGAAGTTATGATGTTAATTTCTCTTCTCATAGATGCTAATATTATCATTAATCTATTTAATATTCAGGTCTTGCAAGTTATATCTGACATTTCAATTTTATAGTATCTGTTTGATATAAACAGTGACTTCAGTGTAACAAAAGTACCTGGTATGGTCATCAAGAATAATAATAAATAAATTTATCAATCTTTACCAACAAGAGGAATTAATATTTATTTCTCACTTTATAGCACCACCTCAAACCCTTACCAACAACTCTCAACAATCAAGATCAAATATCAAACTCAGATAGAGAGTTACAGTTAAAAATCCTTGCCTTTCAATCGTACCAAAATCTCTCACGTATTGCTAAAATGAAAGACATATTTTGTCAATTTTTTTCATCTTGCACTCATCAGGACATTTTGCAAGAATACAAATTCAGGGGGAAAACTTGCATTTATATTATAGGAGAGGAGACTGCCATTTAGCTATACTATCTACAAGATATACTGCAGAAATTCAGCAAAGATCCTAAGATAGAACCTTCCAAACCCACGACCACTTCCATCTAGAAGGACAAGGGGAGCAGATATATGGGAACACCACCACCTCCAAGTTCCCCTCCAAGCCACTCACCATCCTGACTTGGAAATATATCGCCGTTCCTTCACTGTCGCTGAGTCAAAATTCTGGAATTCCCTCCCTAAGGGCATTGTGGGACAACCCACAGCAGGTGAACTGCAGCAATTCAAGAAGGTAGCTCACCCCCACCTTATCAAGGGCAACTAGGGATGGGCAACAAATGCTGGCCCAGCCAGCAATGCCCACATCTTACAAAATGAATAAATAAAAAAAAGTGGACTTTGACTGGTAGAGATATTGCTGTAGAGAATGCACCCATTTATGCTGATTGACAGTTAACAGCCAGGATTTGTTAAATTTTACACCAGGCCAGTTAAATCCGATTGACAGGGTACTGCCCTGAGAAATAAACCAGTGAATGGCTGTCATCTATTTCGTTGACTTGAAACAGGCTCAGTGCATGTACATGCTCTTTCTGATTGCACAGAACAGGGCCCTGCTTGTTCATATCTGTAGCTTCCAGTAAGCACATAATGCACATTGGTGCATCACACTACGAGTCTGACCGACACTCCTAAAATGGTTGTCAGTTTAGTTCCTTGCAAACTCAGGATTATCCATCCAATGCTGTCCAACTGCAAAATCACAAATTCCCTTGAACCAGACTTTAGAACAGTGGCTTCAACACACCATTATGAGCTTTTCATTTCCTATACCAACCAGCCATGTCACTGGTGAGTGAAATTGCCAATTCAACATGATTACAGGCTGAAGAGACTACAACAGCATTTAAATTGAAGCTAGAGAAAGATAACAACTTACTTCACTTCAAACCTTGCACTTATTTGTGAAGGAGGAGGCAGTCAGGTGCCCAAGGTGACAGGATGTACATATTAATCCAAATATCTCTGTCACCCAAAAAAAACCCCATAATGGTAACAGTAAAAAGCAATTGTTAGTGAAGTAGCCATTGTCCCAGAGGATCACAGGGCTGCTCTGTCAATGGAGAGACTGGCAATGGTTTAAGCTGAGGATCATCACACCTCAGACTAGGGGAAAGGTTGAGAAGGTGGGACCTTCAACTTAACCTCAGCCAATGCAGCATATGGACCCACAGTCTAGGTGTCACACTGCATCATAAACCAGCCATCCAACCAACTGAGCTAATCAAGTTTACTAAAGGTGTACATCAATACTCTGTTCATTATATTGTTAAGATACATTGGTGAAGGGCATTGGTTGATCAAGTGCCTACAGTATACACAACAGGAGACCACTGGGACATGGGAGGCATTAAGTGCAAATTAAACATACACAATGCTACATCCCGTAAATTAACGTTTACTAAAGGAAAGGATTACCATCTAGTTTCACGCTTAACCAACTGGCTTGGGATTGACTTAACTGTTTCCTGGCAGGCCATAGTTAGGGTGAAATAAGCAGTGTCATACCGTGACTCTCCGAGCAATGGGCTTCGGGCTACTCGAGCCCACCGCCATCAGCTGGCCCGAAGTTAAGGTTAGGCTTCGCCTTTTGGTGTGCCCTCTGAGTGATCCATTCTGGTGACGCTTCATGCGCTCTGCTTGTTCCTCGACACTCATCTTGGATTTTGTGTCATTGGGATACCCGCTGCCTTTTGATTTTTCCTTTGGGGAAAGGATTAGAAATGCCTGTTGTCAGGAAATGGTGTCAGACAGCAAAAACCCTGCAGCAGGGACTCTCAGGAAAACCTGACCTGCCCAAATAGCTTCAAGCCAGGTGAAGTCGCATCTTAAAATAATTGTAAGCCAGTGAAAATAATTTGTTATCTTCCTGTCATTCTTTTTAACTCTGTCAAGGAAGCTCAATAGGGGAACCTTCAGAGAGGGGCCATTCAGAGTCTTAAACCTTTCATTTAAATCATGGCCTCAACTCCATAAACCCTTCTCAAGGGCAAATAGCGATGAACAGAACATGCTGGTCCAACCAGCAAAGCCCAAGACCCTTGAATGAATAAAGAAACCCCACAACATCCCTTAAAATATCGTTATAACAAGTGAAGCGCTGTCAATGGGGAATAGGGTAGCATGGGGAAGGCAAGAGGGTTGCAGGTAGATCTTTAGCAAGCCACCTACATACTTACTCGTGCCTGAGAGTCATAATTCAATTTATCATTATTCCTAATGGCAAGGGAGGATAGAGACGGAGAAACTTCCTCTGGAGGTGATTTGGTCCTTGGAGGAACAACACCTACTGTAGAATCAAACGGGAATACAGGTTAGAGAGCTATGTCAATGTAACTTTGAAGTTATCTTCTGAAGAGCATACTGGTAAGCAAACACAACATTAGTGAATTTTTGATAGCAGGAACTGCAGATGCTGGAGAATCCGAGACAACAAGGTGCAGAGCTGGATGAACACAGCAGGCCAAGCA